ATTGTATTTTACATAAGTAATATTAATATTTATTCTAACATATTTTTAAAGAGTAATATAATTTAATTGTCACATATATTTGCACACGAGAGAAAAAATCCGTTAATTTATGTAATTTAAAATTGTATTTTTTTGCTTCATCGCGCATTTTTGAAGCTATTTACATTCATATTTGTCAAATATTTCAAGCCTGATATATATTAAAATATGTGACAAATATGAATGCTCGAAACTCATTTATTTAGCGGAATGGAATTGCTTGATAAAGTTCGAGTTAATGGGCATACCTATTCGTTTAATGCAAATTTGATGCAGCTATATTAAGTTTAAATAGTTGAAATAAAAATTAATACTCGATTGCGATATGTAATCGCGCGTTTTCGAAAATTACGTGCAAATAAACGGTATGTTCAGGGTGTGTCTCGAAAATATTCGATGACACGCTGACGCTTTTCGCCACGCTTTTCCAATACACATCTACATTAAGTGTAATTACCCTTGATTACGTCATACGCATTATTGATCAAGATTTAAAAACGCATTATTCCTGAAATCGATTCGGCCGGAACATTACCGGCGCTATTATTAATGATGCCGGTGAAATCAATTTCGCAGTGCACATTGCGCACAAATAAATGAAAAGGTACTTAGTTTCTCGCGAATGCATTGTCGTAGAAGCTAAAGAGCAATTTTATCCATGTTCAACATATTGCGTTTGCTTCTTTCCTTCACTTCCTATTTAACGTAACAGCTTGAAAATTTTTTCCCGCAATCCCACTGTAACTCAAAAATGATTAATATCCTTAATATTATCGGCGTTAAATGCAATTTCCTGCAGTTTTTAAAATATCGCGCCCGCACGGACAAACCTATTCATTAGCGTCTTTTGCGGCCGTGCATTCCGCGCAAAAACATGTTTAGCCGACGAAAAGCTTAAGTTGAATAAATTTCACGATGGCGTACGCGAACTATTGTGAGCCGCTGTATATGCAACGTGCCTGTCTCGGCACGTACACGACAATGGAATACTTAGATCCCGCTGTAGCCCCTCCCCCGCGCGCCATTTTCCATTGTCTTATGATTTATGTTCCCTGGTCGCGGTGTCAACAGGGTATTGATTAAAATACACACATAGCGGTGGCCCGGGCGTGCATACAGATTTATGCACACACCGGCCGGCCGGAGTGTGTGACATCGTCGTCCCTTGTAAATCGACCCCCGTGTCCCTCCCCACCCCTCCCCGCCTTGCTGTCCCGACGCCCGGCGAAGCGTTGATCGTGTTAACCGTGTAAAAAGCACCAGGCACGCTTCCAGATCGAATCGTTTAACGGGTGGCACCCTTATATGGACCCGCGCAACGCGATCGTATCCGGAATCCCCCTTCAGGATGCATCGAAGTGCACATCGACAGTCTCGAGCCCACCCCTCCCACCGACGTGCGCCGACGCACATCCCCGAGAACACACTTGGACGTAAAGTTTATTTTCTTCCTCGCCGAGCAATGCAACCAGCCGTGGCATTCGCCAGAATTATGCCACGCAAGTTGAACGAGAAAACGTTCTTGCCGGCTCTCGACGCAACGGTGGATGCGCGGATGCAAATCGCGGGAGTACGAAGTTTGTTGCACGACGGAATCCGCGGAGCAAAGAGGGAAGAAGGATCCGACGGAGCGGAGGAGAGAAAGAAGAACGGGAGAGAGAGTCATATTTCGATTTTACGTCGGGCGCAATTTGCGTCCGTAAGTCGCGGCGCAATGCATCAAACGCGGATCGCGTATTCTTGACGCGACGGCGCGAGAGCGCCGCCGATCCATTATGCGCGCCGTCCGTTTAATTTTAATAACGTAACGAAGCGCCAGGTTAATTCGACGGGGGATGAGTTATGAAAAATCGCGGACGAATCGTAATGATACAATTGCGCGCGGGATAGTGATTCAATTTACGCTCCGGGTGTAATGCGTATTATCGGTGCTTTGACAACGCTACAATTTCCTTCCACTTCAATGTTTAGCATAGCTCGATAAACCATAACCACGTGATATTATGTAAATGTTCCGTCGCCTGTGTACAGTGATATCGAAAGCGATAAAATTATTATGAACGGATTAATATGAATTTCTGCGGGGAAATCGTTATATTATAGATTCTTCAAAAATATTTATCGCAATGTTATAGATAAATTGGAAAAAAATATAAAAGAGGAAAAAATCTGGAAAGTGAAAATATCTACGTCGCCCTCTATTATTTTAAATACATTGCGAAACGTTTCACGGAACGAAATGTTTCTCGGCGATCATTCGGTTTTTGGAGGAAATGTATTACTCTATAGCAATTAGAAGGCTGGAAATTTATTAACTGCTTGTCTAGCAGCATGTTTCACTTACTTCGATGCACGGAAAGCGTTGCCGTAAGTAATTTGCACCGCTGCTTCGCATTTTCTTCATTACTCTTGCTCTCCGCTAAAATGTTTTCTCGTTATTCATACTCGCGTTGCTCCTTTTACTTTTTTGTCATTCTTAATGGAACGCACACTTATAATTTTTGTATTCCGATGCAAATGATCCTTAATTATTTGTGCGCGAGCATCATGCGATAAGAAAGATGGCCTCCGAGATATCGTTTCTTTAAAGTGTTTAAAGCTCATCTGCATATTTGTATAATATAGTGAATTATTACCCGCGTGAATAATTTCTCATACATTTGCGCGAATAACTTCTCATGATTAATTGCGAATTAAACGTGTATAATTCCATATTTTATTTAAAGTTGCCCAATATATAGCAGGCTCCGCTATTAACTCGTATTTGCTCGCGTAGCTTTTACTTTTTGCCGCTCTTAATCGAACGCGTACTTGTAATTCCCGTATTTCAATGCAAATGATTCTTAACTATTTGTGTGCCAGCATCACGCGATAAGAAAGACGGCTTTCGAATATCGTTTCTTTAACAAATTTAAAGCGCATTTGCATATTTAATATTGAATAATTACTCGCGTGAATAATTTCTCGTACATTTGCGTGAATAATTGCTCGCGATTAATTACAAATTGGACGTGTCATTTCTATATTTTATTTAACGTTAAGGCACGCGCAACGCGTTTCACTATTAAACGTATTTGCAATTTAGGAACGCTCTCGGTAAGAGCGACATCCATTATTTATCCCAACCGGATATGACAAGTCATCGTTCTTATAAATTCCAGCTTAAGATTTGAGAAAAGGGCAATTTCTATCCTATTCCGCGCGTCCGTCGGCGCGAATACTCGTCGGCCGACGAAGTGACTCGTTATCTTAAGAGAGAGTCATTTTGCCCTCTCCTCTCGTCTTTTTTCTCTCTACAGAGAGCCCCTCTCTCTCTTTCTCTCTCTCTTTCTCTCTCGACTTTTCGCTCTCTTGACTCAGCGACTCGAGTGCCATCCGCTGCCGTTGCCGCCTCCACTGCCCCTCGAGCTTCATCCGTCGAGAGTAGAACCGACACTCTTCTCTCCTCTCACCGGCGTTTTATTTATTATCCGCGGTTACTCCAGTGGACCGCAGCATCCGAGCAGCGCCCAGAGACTCGTCGAGGGTCGACCGCCGCAATAGTCGATGCGTGAAACGCGTATTCATCGCGACGCGAAATCGCGTGTCCGGATTCTACCCGCATCGTACTTTTTTTTTTCTTTTTCCGTAGCCGCGAGGCCGGTCTTTTGAGAAAGCCCACTAATTGCAGCCTCGTCCTACAGGACTTTCAGACGCGTCAGACGAGCCGAGAATTTCGATCATCGCCGAGTTAAACCGAAAAACTTTCGGTATTTGACCTTTTCGCACATTTGTCTTTGTCAAATGTTTTTTGACGAGTTATAAATGTTTATGATCGATCGCGCAGATATTCGCGTTTGAAAAATTTATATGGAAACTTTATAGAGATGACAGTGAGAATCGAGGAAGTACGTGCGTGAAAAATGATAAACGCCATAAATGCGACCTCAAAAAGTTCTACGGTATATTTTCTACATTTTTACGAGAGGCGGTATCGCCACGCAAATCCACGCGAGGCAATCAGTTCTTATTATTTGTCGAAATTCCGTCTCTTATGAGAGCGGCGCCATATATTTATTAGGTACTGTCAACGTACAGGCAGCATCGGGAGACGATTTCAATGACGCATTTAGCCGGCAGGGAATTAGTATCGAGCTACTGCATTCGAAGCTTGTTCAGGATTTACGTTCCAGCGACACAATACGGCGTAGTTACGTCGTCTATCGTTACACCGCGTCGCCTGGTGTACGCCGTAAAAAGCACCAACAAGAGAGCGATCACGAATAGATAATTATTACACGCCGCTTGATTCATCTCGACGTCAATGACAGACTGGCTGCATTCAGCGCCGTCAAAGGCACCAGAATGTCGATGCGATTTTGCAAAAACGCGGACGCATCAAACATGAAACTTTTTTTCTTACTTCTCGGAAACCGGATATTCCAGGCTGTCTTGGTAACCGCGCGTGTTTCCAATCAATCGTAAATTGCCTCGCAAACTCGCAGCTTAAACGTGACACGCGCATCGCAAATAGCGCTGCAATTACCGTTCTAAATATTTAATCGATTATAAAACTATTTATACAACTTGGAAACGATAGCTACGACGGTTTGTATCCATTTACATATTTAATAATAACACAAAGTAATATCGATGATGAGAATTGGAAATTATTTATAGCGGAATATAGTTGAAAAATCGTAGCCAAATGGACACCGAGAAAGAAAAGGGAACGATATTATATCGTGAAGCCGCGTAGAAACCCCGTTTTACTGTTGCAGAGTTAAAAAAAAAGTTATCACGTCGTTGGACGGGATACAGCCGAGCGTGATATTACGCGATAGAGAGGCCAGGACGACGGAATTTCCAGCTTGATTTAGGAAAGGGGGAGGGAAACAGAGAGGAGGAGCGTTTTACGCGTCCCATCATGGGACGACGACGACGACGACGACGACGACGCACAGACGACGCCGGGTACTTACCTCGATGTATGACCTTGTTGAACACACTGGTGATGATTTGCAGCTCGGGATTTAACGTCTCGCCGAGCTGAAACAGAAAACAGCTTTCTTTGTGTCATCCAGCTAAACGACAGTGACACCTTACACTACGACGGCATGCAAGCCGTCCCTTCACCCCCGCCCGCCTCGCGCCATTCGCCTCGCCCCGATACGTTTTCCATCGATTTCCCATGAAAAGGGGTTGTTCGGGCGCTGCTAAGTGCACCGCATAAAGAGGTGAAGGCAAAGAGTCGTTCCGAAAGTTCCACACCGGACCGCCATTAAAGGTAACCGTAAAACCCAACTAAACCGACCGCGGACTTTAAAGTAAGTAACGATAAATAATAAAAGTTGATCCCCTCCCCCCTCAGCCGACCGCGCGGGTCCACCGTCGATCAAAAGTTTCGCCGTTTCCCTCATCGTGGCGCGAAATTATTATCGCTGCCTCTCGTCACTCCGCTCCGTAAATAAAGGTAAACAAGGGGATAAGAAGACGGATGAAAAAAAGAAAGAAAAAGAAGCGAAACGCGATCGGATAAAATGCGCACGGATATCCAATGGAATATTCTCCAGCATTCAGATTTATGGACGCTCGTTAATTAAGACTGACGACGCTGACTGCTGCATGAGAAAAGCGTTTTACATAAGAGTTGCGATGAATAAATTGTATAACAAAGAAACGTCGTGGTCGACATTTGTTCCGCAAAAGTCGATTCGAACAAAGGAAAATATTACGTGAAGTATGAAACGCGCTAAATGTGCACCGTGCGATATATTTTTATCGGGATGCGGAACTTTCCTCGGATGCGACGTACTTCGCAATAAATGCGCGGCCATCAAAATTTTAAAATATCAAGGACGTTGCAATTTAAATGTTTCAAAAGAAAACCGACATACGAGATCACGCTCTACATTTCGCTTGACATTTATAGGTCTCATCGCACTTTATGACTGCGATTATCGACCTAAACATATGACGCCTCTGAAATTACGCGGACGCTAAAAATATGCTGTAAAGAGGTAGCGACTGTTTTACTTGTTAATCCGGACACTCGAGAGTTACACGGGACGTAATCGAGACTCAGTTGCGAGACAGGTGAACGGACGCCCGACGGTTTAATCTCCGTTTAAATTTGTTGTAATAAAGAGACCCTAATCTTAATTATGAGCTAAGAGAATTAATCTCAATGACGGCCGTCCTTAAACATTCTTAATCTCGTCGCTCCAGAGTAAACTTGGCTGGGAAAGCTCGCGGTAATCGCAGCCTCCTTGATATTCATTTAATCGTAAGAGAATTTTTATCGTTGACACGATGTCAAACTTAATAAAACACGCGCTATTTAAAGCAATGTTTTATGAAGCCCGGCGATTTTTCCCAAATATGAGCCTGAACGTTCTTGTTGCAATACGCTTCAAAAATCGCTTAAATCTCGCATACTTCTCGTTAAATTAAAATTAAAATCAAATTAATTGAAGCTAATTTTAATTTAAAAAATTAGTTTCCATTTTCCAATTATATACAAGCGTGTTTGCTGCGACTCTTGATCCAATTGTAAATCTAATATCCACGATAAAGTATTGTAAAATGTATTAAATCCAACAACGTTTGACCCCAAAGTCTCTCTAGTTAAATCCGGTTCGTAGTTGCGGCTTACGTCGTCAGCATGTTACTACTTGTTTGGCAAATCAAGTGTACACTAATTTGTAATAGTAGCTTCGTAATTTCCGCAACAGTCGGGCAATAAACAAGCACCGACGACGACGCTCCGTCCTGAGATCGTATCGATCGCGCGCGTGAGACCGTCCCTCTGGTCTCTCTCGGCCATGCTGTATAATGATCACAGATAAAGGATATTGCACTAGACCTGGCATAGGGAACAGCCAGCTCTCGCGTCATATTATACAGTCCACCCGACGGACGTGGAGAATTAGCAGGCCCAAATCCCTCTCTCCCTCCCTCCCTCCTTCCCACTCTCTCTATCTCTCTCTCTCTCTCTCTCTCTTGCGACGACATAGAATCGCCAACCGAATTTCTCCTTCCGTTTGACAGCGCGGAATTCCCGTCTTTTGTCTTTACATCAAGACCACTGACTGGCAGTCGCGCTAAATTGACGCGTGGCGTAATTACGAGTTAGTAATTTCCTCGCCGCGGGTAAATGACAAACAGCCGGCTAATCACTCGACTCCATCAATAAAGGATATTTACTTGACGCTGTCTTTGTTGCGCTATTTGACACCCGGTCAAGCGTATCAAATCTTTTCCTTTCAACGAGGCCGGGAGTGAAATTGACTATCTAATATTCGTAGAAATTTCGCTATTTTAACAAGAGAAATCTGCATTTGCATGTAATTTAACTTTTCGAACAAATCGTGCGAGCAAATTCGCGAAAATGGAGTCGTTGGAATCGCGTGTTGTGAATAAACTTTTTTGACTCCGCTCGAACGAAACTTTTTTCCAATGGCTTTCCCGCGTGACGCTTATACCTCACAGGTTTTAGGTCGTAGGTCGTGCGATTCGCTCATCCTTTTCCGGGAAACTTTCGATTCCGCTCGCTTCGTGTAGTTCCACGCTGACCTCTAAACGTTCCACAAATCCTTCGCCGCAGTAACGCGCGCGCCATTTATATGTCGCGGCCGTAGCAAGGCCAGAATTAAGTGGCGCGTATAATTACGACAATTGTCGCATAATTGCGCGAATTATAGAAATTACAGTAATGACCCGTCTCATTACACCGTACTGATTATATATTGAGTGCCATAATTAAAATTACAAAATTCGCAGAATAAAGTATTAGCATAAGGTGAAATCTTTATCAATCAGCGGCACCGCATCGGCGCTGCCAATCTATCTGATCGCGAAAGTTTTGCAGCGTTTCGCATTAAAATGTCAGTCGAGTTCGTTTAGGTCCGCGATCTGCTGGAAGCAGCGACGGTATCTCGGGGTACCGACTCATTTGGATCTCATCCCTCAGACACCCCAGGGTATAATCCGTTTGAATTACAGTCGTCAACCCCGTTGCCTTCAGACACGCCTTTACGATCTATTCGTCGGGAGATCGAGCACCTGTTAAAGGTTTCCAGGCAGGATGATGCCGTAGCGTCCGCTTTGGGATTATTCAAAACGCTGACCTTTCGGACGTATTTGTCCGAGTTACTTTGGCCTCATTGAAATTTATGATTCCGCAGCGAAAATTACTTCGCAGTCGTCCAAAATGTTTCCTATTCTATGCGGGCTTTAATTTATGGCACTCAACTCGCTCTCATTCGTCATGTGCAAAGCGCGACTTCCCGTTATGACGTTTAATCTAACATTATTTATATCTCAATTGTGTGACCGCATGAAGAAAAATTACTTTCATTAAACATAATTCTTTGAAATATATTCGGCTATAATCTTTAGAAAATTTGCCCCAGTAAAAAGCAACTGAAGAATTCATTTCCATGCGTATCAAAGCTGGATAATACATATTGCATTTATCTGTCGTATTAATCAGCAGACGGATTGGCGAGCAACACGAGGGCTAATGCAATAGCGCATGTACTAGCGCGCGGCTGCAAATTCCAGCGGAAAAAGCGCTATTATGTTCGGTACTATCGCGTCGACGAATCTCTTTCATCGTCTTACGGCCATCGTCGTCGCCTTAGAGCGCTCGTAAACATCCCCTTAAAAATATTCAGAAGTTGCTGTCGTTTGTCGATGGCTGCAAGCCGAGTCAAAGTGCGTCGTTACGTCTCATAGTCGCTGCAACGCATATAGACTCTCTCTCTCTCCCTTTCTTCCTTATATCATCATCTTCGTTTCGCTGTCACGCAGCCGCGGCTTCGAAGGCTGGGTTGCTAAAGAGGGCGGAAAACGAACGGAAAAGGGCGCACGCTGAAAGAGGGTGATGCGAGCGAGTGGCGCAGGAGACAGCCGGTCGTCGCTGAAAGTTTTAAAGTTATTCCAGAGGTAAATACAGTCAGGGCGGCAGTAGCTATTGCATGTTTTATATCGCCCTCCCGGTCTTTTTCCCGGGGGGTGTCGGGGAAAGGGGAGGAGGCGTGAGAATGCATTACGTGACGATAATCTCTTTCGTCTCAGATTATGATATGCGAAAATTATTCTGCTTTCCGACGGCGAAAAATGTGAGAACGAGCTCGCTCGCGTTTCTCTATTACTATTCGAATAACACGGCTGAAAACTCGTCAGTGCGCCCGTGGCTTTTACCACGTTACGAAAAACACGCGCATATATATTTAATAAAGGCATAATCCTGCATCTAATTTCTACTTATAAAAATGAAATTTCATAAAAGTTAAAAAACTACTGTTGAAAACTCGCGCGTTGCTTCTTTGACAATTTTTACCTTTGCGCAACTTTTTTTCTTTGCGAACATTAAATTAATTAGAAAGACTCGCGCTCTATTTCTAATCTCTGAAAAATATTAACATTGTTGTACGGAAATATCGTGCCGTATTTTTGATTCAGCGGAAGAGATTTCTATCGGGAAAAAAATTACAGGAATTGATAGAGGAGGAAGTATGACATAATATTTTCATCGAGGCTCGCAAATTTAGTTTGCAGACGATTGGAGAGAAGCTGATGAGACCAGTTGTCCACGAGCGTCGAAGTAAAATAATTGTTCCACGATAATAATTTTGTTACATCGACGAGGAAAATACGGATGGGAAGCGCGTTTCGTTATTTTCCGTATAATATTAAAATCGCATCGCTTTGATCGCTAGCATCGACACAATCCGATTTCGCGGATATTCTGCGCGCATATATATATATTTTGTACATTCGATACTGTTGTGAAATAAAAAAAAAATGATATAATAAATCCATTTATACATAACAAAATATAGTGACATAGGCTGAAAATTAAATTACAAATTCCTTTCATTTATGTAAGCCATATAAATTAACAAATAATCCTAAGACAAACGCAAATTACTATATTTCAAATAAAAAAATTTACGAGCATTTTACTTTATAATTTATAATCATGATTTATAACATGAAAGAATTGTGATTTAAAAAGATGACGCGTGTTTGAAATGTATCGATCGAAATAATATAAATGTGCAGTTTTTAAAGACCGTTGATGTTTTTACTAATTTATGCATTTTTCTCCAATCGGCACGTGTGCAAACATGAAGAATGTTTAGGAGTTAACTATCAAAAATACGACTCGACGTTTTTCTCGAGAAAAAGGAAGGAGAATGAACCGACGAATAACGAGGAAGAGAAGAAAAGACAAGGAATAGAAGGGTCGTAGACAACGTAGGTCTAACCGATGTGGAGCCAGAAGGTTCCTCTCAAAACTTCGGAATTTATTCTTGTGTTAAGCGCCCGCGCGTCTTGGGAAAGTTACCGCGTGTTTGCTCGTAGCCTCCGACCGAAATAATTATGCCATAATAATGATATTGTTGGTTGGAAATGTTGAGGCTCTACCGGAGCTTGTTGTTTAAAAAAATACCGCGTAACGTTCGCTCTCGCCGAGATATAATTAATGCCCGTTCAGCGAACTTTACCGGTTTACCTGTTGTACGCACACATGCACGCGCGCGGAGGTGTTTGACGGTGCGCTAATATTTTACACGCAAATTTCTTCGTCTTATTTTCGTTAAAAATATTTATCACGGTTTTCAACAGGCTGCTCACCGCAGAGTTGTGTTACGCAAAATTCATTCGATTATGTTTAATTACTTTATCCGCGGTAATGTCCTTAGTTATTGTTTCAACAGAAGTTTCCATCGAGATTTAATAAATTCGGGCGATCGATATTCGCCATTTATTCATCGCAAAACAAGCGCTATTAGCGTGGCGAGCTGGCATCTGTCACGCGCTAACTATTCTAATCTCTGGTACGCCGAATGCATTTGTAAGGGGAAGCCAAGTGCAGTCCAAAGTCGAAAGTTAGTATCACGATATGCGCCCTGTTAGGAACGGCTTCGCCATAACACGATGGCTTGACAAGAGTCGGGGGATAGGAAGCGACGAGAGTATTAACTGCCGACATAATTATCAATTTGCACGGTTCGTTCACTTGATTAGACCGATGGAGTTACCATGGCAGATCTCATGCAAGCGAGTTTCGATGCGTTTTTCAGTGTCGCCGTGTGTGGAATTAATTCCACAACTGAGCCAAGATTTGCGCGATTTAATTTTGTTTTAATTAATGGTGTGCAAAATTAAATAGCTGTAAGTTATAACGCGGAAGTTGCGCGCGGAAACTTTCGCGGATTAAAACAATTTGAAAAATGGACGGAACTTTCGCCGAGAGCGTTTGATGAAAAATTCACTCACCTGCACCATTAACGAGATCGCCACCAGGCCTTGACTTTTATGCTGCGCCTCGCTCATATTGTGATACAGTTCGGCGTTGAAGCCGTAGATTTGTATCTGCAACAGAAAAAAACACAAGGAAAATTATTTCCCGGCGGAGTCGTGCCGCGAGCGCAACCGTATCTCCCGTAATGCGCGATCCCGCCGACAAATTTCGTCGCACGAACAAATATTCTCGAGTTTAGAGTTTAGATTCCGGAACATTTCGCGCCCGACGACGTCTCATACGTTGTTTCCCTCGTTGCCCCTTACCTCTATCCTATCTCTCCTCATGAGATCGTCTCGCTACAATCAACGTTCTTCGCCGACAGTTGCCGGTTTTATCACACCTAATTAAACGCGCTCGACGCATTAAATATTAAGTACAATTTTTTTGGAAATCTATATAATAGATTTCCAAATTATAATCAGGTAAAGTAATCAGTGCAGTGTTAAATCAAGTATCAATTTCGATAAAAAGATATTGATTTTTATAATTATTGAAAAATGTATCTTTATATCGTTTAAAAATATAACGTCAATATGATGAAAGTAAAATTAAAATTTTTTATTATGTATCTCTACACTTGATATACGCTATTATATTAAAAGTTTAAGAAATCGATGGAAGATTCCATAATATGAATTTATATAATCTATGCTTTCAAGATACTCGGTTTCTTCTTGTACCTCCTCTAAATAAACATTCCACAAATATTTATCGAACACATACCTATTAAATCGCATTCTTATGTGAGTATATAAATCTCATAACTTCAAAAGCACCAAGCGTATACTATACGCAGATGCACTTCAACCTTTGACATTTTTGTCCCGCCTTCTTATCTTCTTTAGAATCTTCATTTTTAGTAAACGGAAATATTCTTTCATACTGTGCACTTTTTGCAGAAATATTGAATATAAGCGAGAATAAAATTTTTCTCCATTCTTCGATGCCTGATGATATTTGGCCCTTAATGTACTTTCATGTTTTGTGTATATAAAAATATGATCTTTTTTTTTATTATTGCAATAATATTATATTATGATTGAAACATATACCTCTGTTTTTATTACAATTTTTACGTTATCAAAATAATTTAAAAACATCGATGTTATTAGCTTTCAAAATTTTAAATAAAACCGATAATAAAACGTTAGTAAAAAAATTAGAGTTATTTTTATTCTAAATGTATATACTATCAAACAGCGTTTCAATCTGCTTTTAAAGCTTGCTTTATAACAATATGTTTTATCGTGGTTTAGTATATTGTATTACGTTTGTCGTAAAAGTTCAGCTGCTTAAGTAAATTAAACGTTACCTACGCAGAGATCAAATATACATCGTATACATAAAAAATCGCGAGAAGTGCTGTAAATAAAGTGTAAAAATCATTAAAGGATCACGTGACAGCACACTAGAAGGCAGTAATTTGAAATCTGTAACTTTTTCCTTCAATAAACAATATCTCAGATATCCATCTTTTTATATATTAAAGAACTTCTTATATAAAATACAAACATAATCCTGATTAAATTAACATTTCTCCCTCAGCCTGTGATTCTTGATGAGAAAACAAATAAGTTTAAAAACATTTCATGGCAAGCCTGTGATGTAATCCATTTTTCTTCAGCCAAGTAGCAAAACGGATCTATCGCCAGCGTGCACGCTAGAGAGCGATGTTCAGTTTATAGAGGAACAGAAACCAAGTCGCTCGTGAAATGTATCTTGTTTTTGGAACATACATCTCGTTTCGTGTCTCATTTCCCGCGTATGTCACCTGCTATAAGTTCTGTATGCTGGATAAGGCGCAGAAAAGATACCGACGACATGTACGTGTCTACTTCGCGAAGAAAAGGATTTCGCCGCGATCGCTTTTCTTTACAGTGTTCTCTCTCTCTTTCTCTTTCTTTCTCTCTTATATTTCCCCTTTTGTTTCCTCGGTCTCGTCCTTTTTTCACCGCATCCGTATATCTGTTTCTTTCTGCAGGTAATGGCATTGCCACGGCACTTCCGGTTGTGCCTAAGGGTATCTGAAATGCCCGCGACACGACGAGTCTTCTTCAAAGACGGCGCGACGGATGGGGACGAGAATATGAAGGATAGAGGAGTGATGCAAAATACGGGAAAAAAAGAACACGGAATGCAGAGAAGAGGAGCGGGAGGATTGCCGGGGGTGAGTGTAAATCCACTGCGTCTGATCAAAGTACGACTCATACCACTAGAAATAGGAAAGATTCTCTCTTTCTTTTCATTTTCGTGAAATTTTCTCCCGCCCACTGCCTCTCCTTCAATGCGGCGTCTCCTCATCTTTTCTGCCTTTTAGCAGAATATTTTTCTCTTGGTGGCATTCTGTTCATCGAAGAAGGCGTCTTCCGCCGTCACGTAAAACGTTGAAAAATCTTGTATCATACGCGATTCTATTCTAATCACGACGAGGCACAATGGATAATTTATCGATGCGATATCGACAGGACAGAAATAAAGAGAGTGCGTTCACGTGTTAATGCACTTGAAAAATTTAAAGTATAATTGAAATCAGATGTTATATCTATACTCTTTATGTCAATCGTAATTAAAATACGGATAAGATATTTAAGTAGCAAGTGTGTGAATATTCATAGACTCATAATAGCATTGTATTGAATATTCGCGAATCGATTCTTTCACATAATGACTCGTAAAATGAGCAAAAGGCAAAGTTTTAACTAATTATTATCGTCATCGAAACATATTCGCTGTATATTTTCATTATTTTTATACCCCTAAATAATATTTGCATTTTGATTTGTCACATTTGTTATGTGAATTCAAATCTTCAATTTTTTAAGATAAAAGGCAAACATAGTAATAAAACTGCGAGTAAAGTTTGTCCGACGCAACTTTCCGACAAGTTTAAAAGAAAGAAGAAATTATGTGAATCAGCAAAGCGACTTATTTAGACGTTTGATTGACGGTTTTTACATGCAAACTGGAAGTCTCAATATTTATCGCGGGTAAACAGAGGTGGAAGTTAGGTACGAAAACAACAATGTCTGTGGAGAGTTCAAGAAGCATTCATTCAAACTTCATGAAATTTAATGCATGAATATATTTCAAAACTATTTACAACCGGCTTTGAGGAAAATCAAGAATGTGTGCATTTACCTATCGTAACTTTTACTATCATCGTTATGTGGTGTTGTCACATAACACATGTTTTAATAGATTTTCGGTTGCTGTTTAAAGATATTCTGTTAAGCAAATTAAAAAAAAATACAGCATAAATATTTGTTTTTGCAAAAAGCATCAAATAATAAATTTATGATCGTATATGGCATTTATATATCTTATTTACTTGATTTCGTTAAAGCCATTAGTTGCTTGAATACTTTCAGTATAATTATACGTAATTTAAATAATTAAAATTTTCTTTCGTTATTTTCTTTCGAGATACCTTATGCAGTCAGTCAATATAACTGAGGATAGAAATACATTATTAAGAAGCACTCTGACGACAAATCAGCTTTCAGCGTACTCGTTATAACGCTGATTCGCAAAACAGATTCGCAAACGTAGCTTATTCCTTGAGTATTATAAAGCAGATCATAGCAGAAATATCTTCTCTTTCTCTCGTTTTAAGCTCCTTTCCCTCCATTCAACAAATGAAACAATTTATGTGAAATCTATAATATAAAATGTGATCTCGTCGTAACGTAATATAAGCTAAAAATCATGACAACAGAACTATAACATATAATATTATTTCAAATTGTTTATAAAAAAGCGTCATCTATAATGTATAATTTTTATACGATGTAGAGTGTTTTGTGAGAATAATTCGTACAATGAATCGAAAGCAGAAACTTTTGCTAATGTTTTTCTTCCGATTTGCAAAAAAAAATAAAAATTATTCAAAAACGACCGCTGACTTTTTTTTCTTCGTTATCTCTAGAGTTTGGATAAAACTCTGCGGCTTTTAGCTACGCGATGATCCCAAAATTCGTTGTCACGGGCGAGCAAAATCCCACTTGACGACCACGCTAAGGCGGTATATAGTCGAGCTTTCTGAAATTTGCTACGTCCTAGAAATTCGGAATTCACCGCGGGTAACCCGCGAAGTGCCGAGCTGGCCCTCTTTGCCTCTAAGCACCTTCACTCCATGTGTACCATCCGATCTCATCGTATCTTCTGCACTCTGCCTCTCATCCTGGCCCGATGCCTCTTTCACGACCACCTCCTTGGCGCTTTACCCGCCACTTTGCCCGCCACTAGAGCATAATCACCACCCCCGCAAAGACAGCGACGTGCTCACAAGCACAGTCGCGCATTCGGTAAACGCATTATCTTCTCTTTAAGCGGTTCCGGCGACAGTCGCGGGTGAAAATTATTTTTACGCGCGTCTGAAGCTAATTGTCGAGCAGAAGCTATTCCGGAATGATGAAAGTAGCGTCATTTCGGGCGTCAGTTTTATTAAGCGCGGCCAAAATTAAGTATAATTCATCTATATATTTTCAAGCTAAAGCTCTCCATTAAGAATTTGGTAATAAATACGATATTTCTGGATTGTCTGGTATTGTAAGTACTTTGCATTATTATCCACTTGCGCAGCGATAATACTGAACAGTAATAGTAACTAATATGACAACACTAGTTAACCTATTGGCCTGGACCTGCGAGGCTATCTTGCAGTTACAATACAAGCTGTCCGACTGGTTGCACGAAACTGTCTGGCGTGCAAACTTTGTTTGAATCTGATTACAAACAATTTACATTGCCTTCCACTCGCGCAAATAGCACTCCATGAAAACGCTAAATATACAAACTTTCATTAAGTGTTACTACTTTTTTATTGCACATTCGTATGCCAAAAAGATTCTCCCGATAGTCCGCAAAATAAAATCATAGGGATGAAAGATAAAACTATTTCTCCTAATCAAGTGATACGCTCTTATATTCATAACATCGTATGTATTCTTCCTGCGCCGCGGCTCCACTTTGGAAAGCAGGTGATAACGCCCTGCGACGAGTCACGGTCGATATGAATATTCGATACGCGCGGTTCATTCGCTGGATGCATCAGGTGTGAAATCAGTGA